TTAGCCCTGAGCTAACACCTGCGCCGATCTTCCTCCACTGCACATGTGGGTTGCCACCACAGCATGGCTGACGAGAGGTATAGGTCTGCACCTGGGATCCCAACCTGAGAACCCAGGCCACTGAAACAGAGTGCACAGAACTTAACCACTATGCTACGGGGCCGGCCCCACACACTGCATTTAAAAAAAATCAATCAATTATCTATTTGATAAATATTTAGCAAGCATGCCTATGTGCCAAGAATTAAACTAGACATGAAAGATATAGTTCTGAATGAAACAGAAAGTTTCCTGGCTTTGTAGGGGCTAAAATTCTAGCTGTGGGGCTGTGAGGGCCCAGGAGGTAAAGACAGACGATTAACAAAGGGACACACAAGGTTAATGATGGGTAGTGAGCTATATGCGCCTGGGAGCCGGACAGCGAGGCGGATGCTGTAGCTGGGACGTCAGGGCAGGTCTCTCAGGGGAGGCCTCTCAGGGGAGGCGGCATCTGGAGGGTGAGAGGACATCACGAGCCTGGGAGATCAAGAGAGCACGGCACCTGGGGCGTTTCTGGATTGGAGCAAGGCCTTGGGAGAAAGCTCTTCAGGTAACGTTTCCTAAAGCGGGCCATGTGCTGTTCTGCGGTGGACGGTGTGCTATGCACTCAACAGGCATTTTACTTGATCCTCACAAGATCCCAACAACGGGTGCATTTCCCCTAATTTGCAGATGACGGCGTTGAGGCTCAGAGAGATGATGACTTGCTCGAGGTGAGACCGCGCTATGGAGCTGGGATGAAACACCTCCAGGGCTTGTCATCCCGATGCCCATGGCCACTCAGGCTGCCTTTGTCAACACGATGCAGAAATGCGGGACTGACGACTCGTAACTTGTCAAGTGACTATTCTAAAGGGTAATGATGAGGGGAGCATCCTGTGGAGGGAGATCCTCATGGCGGTGGCTCAGGCTTGGTCCACAGCCCTGCCACGTCCATTGGTGTCAATGATCTGAATGAGGGCTCAGGCCAGTCACAGTCCAGCCTGCTCTCCAACTACCTGTGACCCTGCACCAGCTGTGTCACATCCTGGGCAATCCCCCCAACACCCCGTATGTTTCATGCTTCCCTGCCTTCACACAGGATGCCTCCCTTGTCGGGAATGGTCCCTGCTCCCTATGACCCAGGTGATGCCTACTGTTCCTTCAAGAGTCAGCTGAAATGTCACCTTCTCCATGAAGCCATCCCTGAATTCCCCCAAAGTGACGTTGCGAATCTTTTGGCTTCCAATGTACCAGGCACACAGATGGCACACCCAGCTAGTCGCCTTCCCAATAGCCATAACAGTGCTTGTTCTTTGCTAACAGAGGAGCCATTTTGACCAAGTGGCAATGTGCTGGAAGCTGCAAGCATCCTAACTGAGATAGCAGAGCGCCCTCTTTGTGGTCCATTATCCCTTTGGGTCTGTTTCCTTGTCCAGTTCTCCACGCTGGAAACTCCTTGAGGAGATTGGGTCTTCTTTTCAAAGAGTGACCAGTGTTCAACACAAAATCCAACACAATGGGTGCCTTGCTCAGTGAAAAAATGAAAGAATGGCTGGCTGGCTGGCTGGCTGGAAGGAGGAGGTATAAGGCAGCAGATGAAGTTGGGAGGCAACGTGAGAGCTCGGGATCCAATCCTCAGGGTTCACAAAGAGAGGAGCAGATAGTCAAGAGCCAAACACGGAGATGGGATCAAAGTGGGATTAGACTGGGCTGATTCCTGGTCTCAGGCTTTCAGGGGAGGCAGGAGGGAGCACATTACTGAGCAGAAACTGGATGTGAGTCAGCACCATCGTGGGACCCCCGTAGAAGCCCCTGTGCTATTACGATATCTTCCCACAGTTGCTCCTGGGATAGGAACAGAGAAGATATGCAGATGCCTGTGAAACCATCCCAGCTACGCGGAGAGCCAAGAGGCAGAGTGGGACTGGAGGCGGGAGTGGCCGTTATCAGGCCCAGTGCTATTGTCACCATTGCTACAGAGGACGGCCTCATCCCACCTCTGAAACACTCCTGGCCGTTCCGACACCCTATAGTGGCCCAAGCTGCACGTCTGAAGCCTTCTCCACCGCTTCCCAAATTCCTGATGCATCGTCTTTCTCAACGCCTCTCTCCAGAGTCAGCAAGTGCGCCTGCCTGTCTCCCACACAGAGACAGTGTGCTGCACACCTGGGGAGCTTTGCAAAGCAGGTGCAGCGTGGCATCCGACACAGACATGGCACAGATGCCCGGCAGCCTTTCATTCTCTTTCCTTGAGGCAACTCTCCTTCTCTGGTGACAACTGCACCGACTCCTTAGCTTGAACCCTCTGTCCCAAGTAGAGGAGCCAGGCTTGAGTTCCCCTGGGCCCTACTTGCTGTCAGCCTTGGACATTTATCCACCTCTGGGCCTCAGGAGCTCCATCTGGAAAGTGGGCACATGGAAGCACCCACAGAATTATTGTGAACTTTAAGTGAGACGGGGGCACGAGAGGGCGAGGACCAGCTTCACTGGCATGAGCCCTGTGAGGGCACAGGGCCCCATGCTCGGACGGGCTCTGCACTTGGTTTAATATTCTACTCACATCTCTTGAAATTCTTAATAATTCTCGAACAAGGGGCCTCCGTTTTCATTTGGCATTGGGCCCCGCAAATTAAGTAGCTGGTCCTGGAGAGGACTTTGAAACTCAAAATGCACTGTAAAAATGTACAGTAGGGTAGCTGGCCCAGGGTGTAGTGGTTGGGTTTGCGTGCTCTGCTTTGACAACCTGGGGTTCACTGGTTTGGATCCCGGGGGTGGACCTGGCACCACTCGTCAGGGCATGCTGTGGCAGGTGTCTCACATATAAAATCCAGGAAGATGGGCACAGATGTTAGCTCAGGGCCAGTCTTCCTCCAGCAAAAAGAGGAGGATTGGCAACAGATGTTAGCTCAGGGCTAATCTTCCTCACCAAAAAAAAAAGTACAGTAGGTTATTGTTGTTGATAATAATAACAATACAAACATTCACATTCTGTAAGGGACACATATGGGGGCTTTTCTGCAAACCTGGAAGGCGAGGGCAGCACAGGATGCATCTCTTACTCCCTGTGCCCTCACCAAGTTCCTACAAGGGCTCCAGAGCTCCCCGCCTCATCCCGAGGGGGCTGACTCTGTTCTAATTCTGATGCTTGGCCCAACTAACTGTGAACTTAAGCAGGTCCCTTTCCCCTCTGGGTGCCACATGACTGACCTCCATAAAGCGGGGCTCCGACTAGTCCCCAGGCTCATCCTCCCCTGCCCTCCCAGCACCTGTTGAAATCGGGCTCCTCCAAGCCTTGCCAAGCAGCTCTGCCCCTAGCGGGAGTCGGAGGCATGAAGCTCCTTTTCAGGAAGACGGGTTAGAGCCACGCCACCACCACCTGCTCCAGCAGCCTCTGCTGGTCCTCAGCCTCTCGGAGCATCTTAGCAGTCAGCTCTGGGTGAGAACAGGGCCCACTGATGCATCTGGCAGGGCAGGGGCGGCACTGTGGCTTGGGGGCTTCTGAGAAGCAGGGGCAGGGCATGGAGGGGAAATCCTCAGGGATGGATCCAGCCCTTATTTAAAGAAGGGGATTGTGGATAGCAGTGTGCTTATATACCTGTGTGTCTGTCTCAGCACCTGTCTGCCTCAGTGTGTGTGTGAACATGCATACACACATGTGCCAATGCCCAGGGTGACTCTCTAGACAAGTGTGCCTGTTAGTGGACTCTGGAGCTGGCATCGCTTCTGTGGGCGACTGTATCAAGGAGTGGGGCAGTGTAGGAGCTGGTGGTGGAGCCCTGAGGGTGGAGGCACGGGCAATGGTGTCACTGTGTCTGTCTAGGGGGTAGTGATTCCGTGTGAGTCTGTCTCAGACAGCGCGTGTGTGTATGTGTGGGTGCGCATAAGGACATGGGTGTCAGTGTCTAGCTCTGCATGGGACAGTGATCCCGTATGTGTCTGACTCTGTGTGTTTGCATCAGTGTGCTGCAAACTGTGTGGCAGTGTGTATACGTGTGCCCGTCACAGTGTCCCAGGCTGTTTCTGAGTGAGTGGGACAGAGTCCAGTGTCGTGTGTGAATGTGGGCATCAGTGCGTCTGTGAAGCAGTGATTCGGTGCCCGTATCACACAGTGTGCATCTGTCCCTGCGTGTCTGTGTCGGAGAGAGTGTGTCAGCGTGCTCGTCTGTGCGGCAGTGCCCACTGTGTTTGTATATACGTGTGTCGGGGTGTGAGCGCCAGTGCGTTTGCCCGGTGTGTGTATTACAGCGAGCGAGGCTGTGTGTGTGTGTGTGCATGTGTGTGTGCATGAGAGTGGGTGGCAGCGTTTCTGCTCCGCAGCGGCGCGTGTGGCAGCGCCCGCTGGGCTCGTCTCCCGGGCCGGGGCAGGGTGTGAGCCCCCGCCCCGCCAGCGGCGACCCCTCCCAGGGGCGGGCAGGCGCTGCGCGCGGGCGTCTCTAGGACCCGGCGGGGCCGGCCGCTGTCCCCGGGCCGCGCGAGTGAGCATGTGCAGAGCCGGGCGCCCGCTGCCCGCCGCCCGCCTCCCGCCGCCCGCCGGTGCCCGCCGCTCCCGCCGCTCCGCCCGGACGGCCGCAGCCCGGAGCTAGGCGGCGGCGCCCTGTGCCGGGGCGCGCCGGGCCGCTCGCCGCAGGCCGCCCGGGGGCGTGCGGGCACGAGGGCGCCCGGGCTCCGGGCACTGCGGGGCTGCGGGCTCGGCGCCCTGGGGAGGCGGGCGCGTGGCCGCTGAGCAGGCGCCCCAGCCGGCTGCGATCGCGGGGTGAGTCCTGTCCCCGGGCGCCCCGGCCGGGTCCCCCGCGCGGGCTGCGGGCCACCAAGTTTGTGTAGCCGCGGCCGGGAGCGCGGCGGGCTGCACCTGCACCTGCTCGGGCTGGGGCGGGCTGGCGGGGGGCGCCTTTCCCAGCCAGGGCGGCTTCGCCGGGAAGGGGGGCGTGAGTGTGTGCGCGTGGGGGAGCGCTTGGGCAGGATCGGCATGGGGCGGGGGTACGCAAGGCAGTTTCCGAAGCTGCGTCCCCCTCCTGGAATCCGGCGAGACCGTCCATTTCCCCCGGGGGAGCCGCGGATCCTGGCCTGGGGAGGGGGCGAGGGCAGGATTTGGGGTGTGCACGGTCTCCCCTGGGAGGAGACGTTTCCCCAGAAGGAGCTCCCTCTCGTTTCGCTACCCGGCCAGGCTTCCGGTCAGCGGAGGGTTTTCTCCTTCTTTTGGTGAACTTGAAGCGAAGCAGATGCGCAAGCGAAACGTATGTATTTTGTCAGGAAAATTACCCCAAGTAGAGCTCTGCGTCTTCCTAGGTGCGGACGGAGACTTAGGACTCCGGAGGCTGCTGATTGCGTTTCTCTTTTACACTGAGAAGCCTCCGAGGGTCCCCTGCCTAGGGGACCCTCGCCAGTTGTCTGTTTTCTAGAGCATCTGTGCCCTCGGATGATGCTGGCTCGCCTGTGGGAGGCAGGGGCGGGGAGGAGACCTCTGTCCCTTCTCTGAGCAGTGGGAAGGCTGGATGGAAGACTTCCAGCCCCCACAGCCCTGCCCTGGCATCCAGCTGCTGCTCGCCTCCGCCGGTCCCCAGCTGCTCCCAAGATGGACAGACTCGAACTCCGCTGTACTTTTCGAACACTGGATGCCATCATCCCTCTTGTCGCTGGAACAGCGTGCTTCAGCTTATGGAGGCGCTTGGGTTGTCCCGGGTTGGGACGCCCTGGTTGGGATCAGGAGATGAGGGTCCTGTCTTTTCTCCTCCGAATCGCCTAGGTTATCGGGTGCAGGAAGTGAGGGCGGGTGGGGAGTGAAAGAGAGGAGGGGGCAGGCTGGCTGGCCCTGCCCTGCCTGCAGCAGCCCCTGCCTGATAGTTGCCAGTTCTGGACAGAGGGCAAGGGGGGCATAACTTCAGGTGTGCCCCTCACCCCCCACATACACTTAGCTGGGGCCTCAGAAGCCCCTTAGAGAAGGTGCCCAGTGGGTCACTAGAGCCCTGGCTTCTATGAGGGTGTGCAGCTGTGTTGGTCTGTGAGTGGGTGTGTTGGTCTCCCAAGTACCCTCGCTCAAGGAAGCTTGGCGGGCAGCTGGGCTGGCGGGCTGAGCCAGGCAGCCTCCTCTTCCCCAGGAGAAGGCCCCTGGCCCCTACCTACGGTGCATCCTCCGGTCCCCAGCAGGACCGTTTCCGCAGCTGCTCTGGAAGAATGCCTCACTTGGGATGAGAGGATACCTCTTTTCGGCGGATGTGGGAGCCCTGTGGGGTGCTGTCCTGTGGCCTGCAGCATGTCTGGCTGGAAGTAAAGAGAGCCTGGAATAGGCAGAAGGCCAGACTCCTGTCCCCCCGCCCCGTCCTGTCCGCCTAACCAGGCAGAAGTGGAGATTCTGGGCCACCGCTTGGTCGGCTGCTGAAGCCTGAGGCTGGGCTGGTTAGGGCTGAACGCTGCGGGGTGAGCTGCTGAGCTAGTTCCCCGGAGTCCGGCCATTGTGGCACAGGGCCTCCGGGTGGGTTGTCTGTGTCTGAGCCGGGCCTCTCGAGAAGGGCTGTTTCTCTCCTTAGACACTCCTGGCTTGTGCTCCCTTCCGGCTGGGACCCTGCTCAGCCTTGGTGAGACCAGCTCCCCTGACTTTCCTGGGGAGCTACACCGAGGTCAGGGCCAAGGACTGTGGGGCAGCTCAGAGTGTAGATCTTCAGAGTCTTTACCCCTAAGGTGCGAGGGATGACCATCTCCACCAGTGGGGCAGAACTGGGCTGGAGGCGGGCCCCGCTCGTCGGGGGAGTGAGTGGTGGACGTGGCCTTCAACTGCTGCCTCCCTGGGCTTGTGGTCTTATTTTCACGCTACTTCTTGTCTCTCCTCATCGTGGCTTAATCATCACCATGTTGACATACTGCCTGCAGAATTATCGGAAGGGGGCCACTTTTGGAGCACGTGGTTAGGAAGGAGCTCTGCCCCCCAGTGCGGGTGGGAGAAGTGGATGGAAGAATGGGCTGGATGAATTTTGTAAGCTATAAAATACAGTGCACCTGTTGGGAGCTGTTAAGGCCTCTCCCCTCCATGTTGCTTCTTTTCTCTTGCTGCTGGAAACCCTTGGGGATGTGAGCCCCATCCCAGAGGACAGCTGTCTTGGCATGAGGGGGCCACGAGGGTTCTGAGGACAGGAATGCCCTAGGTGTCTTGGGCCCCTTCCCATAGCATGAGTCCCCCATCCCAGTGACTGCAGGCACGGTGGGCACAGAACCAGAGAAGGGCAAGGCTGACTTCGGTTGGGGACTCCACTCACTTGCCCACATTTATCCAAATCGCCCAGTGGAGTATGGACAGCCCTCAAGGGCTCACCACAGAGTGGGAGCAGCATATGAACATAGGAACGAAACAGGGTTTTATAAAGGAGGTGGCCCACAGATGGCCTGGAAGAGGTGGTGGTTGTCTGTCTCAACGGTGGGGTGGGCTCCAGGTCAACCAACAGAAAAGGGAGAACACCAGCCCCCACGGTGGTGTCCTGCCCGTCTTTGCAGCCCTGGTCCCCAGCGTGGTGCCCAGAAGAATCTCCATCCCTGGTGTGGGGGAGATGACGGCCGTGTGATGCGGTAGATGATGCCACAAACTTGGAATCTCCAAACTTGAGTCCAGTCAAGCAATAGCTGTTTGTCGTTGGCCAAGTTCATTGGCTCTCTGTCTCTCTCTCTCAGATTCTGCGTTTATGTAATGGGGATGATAATGCTTTTCACTTCACGAGTTTATGGGAAGATCACTCATTTGTTTGTTGATCTGTTCATTCATTCAACACACTTGATAGTGCTGAAAGCACCTTGAGATCTCTAATGTGGTGTATAAAAATTTATTCTTATTTAGGTGACCCTCAGCAGTGGGTTTGATGGAGAATTCCTCCCACCTCCTTTGCACAGAATGGAGTTTTGACCTTACTGTTATGTTTTATACCTTTTTAGCAACAGTTCTTATTCTGGACCTTTTCACTTAAGTTCTGGAGTTCAGAAGATCGAAAGATTTGCCTCTTCAAAGTCAGGAGCCCCACCTCATTTCTATTTCCCAGACCTTGTCCCACCCCAGGGCTCAGCAGGTTTACATTTACTCGGTCCTGTGCTGTCTTTCTGAGCCTCAGAGACCCAGAGGCGTGGGACCCCTGAGCACTGGAGGGTGGCCGGTGGGCACAGATTTCCGGGGCGCCTGTCCTGAGCCCCCCTCCCCCAGAGGTGGGCAGAGGCAGACGGCCTGTGCCTGCAGGGGGCTCCCAGGCTGGAAGCAGAACTAGGCAGAGCAGCAGGGAGGCCCAACTCCAGGTGGGACACGTCACCCAACTCAGGGCCCAGAGTGCCCAGCCCCGCCACTGAGTGCCGGGGAGCAGCCCTGCTCCAGGGATCAGGCAGGCTTCATGGAAGAGGTGGCATTGGAGCTGAGATTTGATGGCCACAAAACATAACAGAGCCACACACGTATCCCTGGTGAATGGAAGAGCATGTGTGAGGGGATATGAAGCATCTCGTGCTGGCCAGGGGACACTGTGGCTGGGACGTAGCATTCTGGAAGGAATAGTGAAAGGAAGGGGCTGGGAGACTGAACCAAGAAGGGCCACTGAGTGCCAGGCTGAGGAGCTTGAACTTGGCCGTCTGAGTCCTGGGGAGCCATTGCAGGTTGTAGCGTCATTAGTTCTTTGTGTTAGAAAGATCACTTTCTTTGGCCGCTGGGAGGCAACAGCCTCTTGGAGAGTGGGAGGGTCCAGCTGACAAGGCACGCAGCCTGAGCAGGGCAGAGGCGGAGGTTGCAGGGGTGGGAAAGACCAGGGAGGGCTAATTCAGAGCCCTGAGCCCAGCGAGGGACTCCCTGGTGTGACTTTGCTGAGGTCCCAAGCCTGAGACCCCCTGCTGCCACTCGTGGAGGCTGGGCTCTGAGCTGCCGGGGCCACGTGTGCCCATCTGCCTGCCTGCAGAGCAACTTGCTGGGCCTGGTGCCTTTGTCTGTAAGGCTCTCACCCTGCTCAGAGCTCCCGGCTCTGAATCCCAAGAGGGTCGCAGCCCTCGCTGCAGTGGCCACAGTGGCCGAGATGACCTGGGGGCATCTGGAGTTCTCCCCTCACCTGCCACTGCCTGTCCTCTCTGGCCAGGGGGTGTTGGGCGGCAGAGTCACGTGGCTGAACCCAGTGGCCACTGGTCAGGCCCAGGGCCTGCCACTTCTCCTCTCCTCTCCCCGTGGCCACTACCGCTCACCTGCTCAGTCCCTGGACCCCCAGCCTAACTGAGAGGCAGGTGCCATCTGCCCTCCACTCCCCACTCCAGCTCAGCACCTGCTGACCCTGGGGCCCAGATGGCAACAAAGTGACAGAAGAGAGCTCGGGTTTTCTGAGTCCTCGCCTGCGCTAGGCTCCTGCTCCCTCCTTGCGACCCCCAGAAACCCCTTTGTCCTATTATTCTCCTCTGTTCCTCTAAGGGAACTCAGGGTCTCCATTCCCCAGGCCCTCCGTTCTCCGGGGTGATGTTCGGGCCGCTAGAAGCCACTGGGCAGGGCAGTGGGTGTCCAGCTTTGTCCAGACTGAGGCTCCTTGCTCAGCCCTGGTGCCCCCTCCTGACAGGGCCGACCCTCAGGCAGGGGCAGAGCCCCCATCCTCCCTGAAGCACTTTGCGTGGTTTCAAGATGGGAGGTGCCACCTGGGATGCCTGGCTTGGGGAAAAGAATGCAGACTTTCAGAGGATGGTGGACCTCGGAGGCGGGCACGCTCACCCACATGGCCGTGTCTGGGAGGTTTGGCTCCGGACGCCATGGGCAGCACCTCTCCGGAGCTTCAGCCTGGCATGTTTTCAGAAAGGTGCTGACGGAGGCACACTAAACTCCTTTCGGGAATAAATCTCGCCTTGTGTGAAGCCGGAGCTGGAGTGGAGAGAGAGGCAGGGAGCTTGGTGGGCACGGGGTGGGCTCCGGGAGCAGGTGGCCTGGGTCTGAATGCTGGCCCTGGGTTGTGTGGCCTTGGCAGTGCGCTCCACCCTGCTGGGCTTCGGAGACCTCAGCTCCCGAATGAGGGTCATCAGGGCATGTGCGTTAGTGGGACTCGTTGGGTAAATGAGAGGGTGCAGGTGAGGTGTGCAGCCCAGCCTAGCCTGTTTGTTCACGCTGCAGGTGCTTCATACATGGTGGCATTGAAAATAAAGCACTTGCTAACAGCCATCTTAGCACAGGGTCAGCTTCAAGCAAGAATGGGATATGAGGCCCACCCCAGGGAGTGGGGGCTAAGGGGGAGGTGAAGGGGTCCCTTGAGACTGATGTCACTCCTGCTGCAGGCTCCTCCTCCAGCGCCTCCTGGTTTCCCCTTTTGTGTTCGTAACTAGTGCACACCACGGTTTGTAGGTGACAAGGGTTCTACGCCCCGAGTCCATCCTGCAGCAGTGCTGACTCAGCCCCATTACCAGACAAGAAGCTGCCGCTCTGCCCCGTGCAGTGACTTGCCCACGGTGGCTTTGCTCTGACGGAGGGCCTTCTGGCTTCGGGGTGCAGCAGGCACAGCTGATGGGCTCCCAGGCCCGGTGCAGACAGTCAGTGGTCAGTCTCCACCTAGGTGTTGGCCGGTTCTGCTGTCCGACTGACCTCGTGGCTTGGCTAGGAGGAGATGCTCTATGTCGCCACTCCCCTAGGCCTCTTTCAGGTTCAGTCACTCAACAAACGTTTACCGTCACTGCTTTGCTAGCTGTGTGCTGGCATCTGGGGACGGGACGGCCAGTCGGGTGTGATTTGTGCGCTGGCGGGGCTGCCAGCTGTGAGAGGAGGTGGGCATGGCAGAGAGTAGGGGACAATTGGCAAATACAGTGTTGGGGGTAAGTGTGGCCGAAGTCCAGGGTAGGGGGACCCGCTCCTCATGCTCTGCGCATGCTGGCTCCCACCTAGCCCCCAGCGGGTGTTCTGGGCTGGGAATCAGCTTTGGGATTTTAAAAGTTTGGAGCGGCAGCATGCTTTATGGGATGGCTGCAAGCGGCCGTCCCTGCCTCGGTGCCCAGCACCCACTCCCCAGACCACGGGAGGGCCCTCTGGAAAGGGGGACCTCCAGGGAGGACTTTGGGGACCCTTGAGGAGCCCGGATATGATCAGTGGAATCCTAATTGTAGCCCTGACTACACCCCACCCCACCCCACCTGTACGGGTAGCATGCTCCATCCTGTATACAGAACGTAGCAGGTGGAATTCACAGCGCTTCTTGCCTTCGGATTTCTGAACCATTGATCCATTGCTCAGCCCTCCACCCTGTCTCCTCAGGGGCTTTCCTTCCACAGCAGGAGTCCCTCCCTCTCCCCTTTTATTTTAGTTTTATAGGGTTTTTCACTGACAGAATCCCAATCTTGTAACCAGCAGGCTTGGTGAGCAGGCCTCTTCATGGAGTTACCGCGTAGAGAGGTTTCGGCACCCTTGTTAGGGGCCGTGTGTCAGAAAGCCCTCCACTGGCTTGTGAGACTGGGCCTTTGTGCTCGGGCATCGCCCCGTCTCTTCCACGTCCTGGGCTGAGCTCCACAGCTCTGGCTACGCGGAGCTCGAGACCTCATTGCCCTCAGCCCCACGGGAGCAGGTTTCTGATGTCAGGATTCGCCTATCAATTTATCCTCTCATTCATTTTTAAAAAATGTATTTGGAAACAAAGATCGCTGAGCATCTATACTGCCAGGCCTTATGCCAGGGGCCAGAGTCACACGAATGAGAGGGTGTGGCCTCCAGCTTTGAGTTGGTCACAGTCCTGCAAAGATGATTGACAAGTAGATGGGCAATTAAAATCGTCCCAGGAGGGTAGTGCTGGGATGGGGGTCGGCACGGGCTGTGGGAAGACAGAGGAATCCATGCCAGTGGGTGGGTGGTGGTCGGGGAAAGCTTCTCGGAGGAAGTGACACTTGGGCTGAGGCTTAGAGGGTAGCCAGGGATTCACCAGGCAAAGAGGAAGGAAAAGGCATAAAAGGCACCAAGGCGGATGGCGGCTCTGGTCCACCTTGCGATGTGTGCGTGTGTGCTTGCACACTCGCCTGATGGGGAAGCCAAAGGAAAGGGCCTGGCAAGAGAGGAGGCTGGACGGCCCAGATCCCGAAGGGGACCTTGTCTGTCCTGCTAAGGCGCTTGGAGTTTATCCCCAAAGCCACGGGGAGCTATTGAAAGGGGCTTTAAGCAGGGGCGCGCCGCGATCAGATTTGCGCCTTAGGCGGATCTGGCGGGCAGCCTGTGGAGGATGGATTGAAGGGGCCAAAGCTGGAGGCGGGGAGATGGGTCAGGATTTCTTGGGATTTTCTCTGTGGTTTTACAAATCTGACGAGGCTGGCGGGGGTGGGCCTGGCACGCACCGGCTTAGAGAATCAAAGCTCCGGAGACCCGTCGGAAATGGCTTCCCGACTCCGACTTTAATTCCTCCTCCAGCTGCTGATTGCCGAGCCCGCCCCCACCCCCCACAGCCTAAAGCACCCGCAGACCCTATTCCAGACCCCCACCCTCCCTGGGGGCCTCGGAGCCTGGGGCTCTCGGGGCTTCATCAGAAAGGGTCCTGCTGGTCTGGGCCCCTCTGGATCCTCTGAATGCCAGGCCGCAAGAGCCCAAACATTGTCTTTGCTCTCACGCCTGGCCGGCTGCCCCCAGCGCACAGAGTGGCCATTGAGGGCTGCGCAGCCTGGCGGGGGTCCCAGGCCGTGTTAGTTACGGGCAGCGGCTTAGTCACGCTCCTAGGAGCCTTTCTTCCCGGGACAAGCCTGTCCTTGTGCTAAGGGCCATCGTCATGCAGCAGCCCAGCTCCTAGCAGCTGCAGGACCCTCTGCCGACCCCTAACTGTGCCCTTCGGAGGCACCGCCCTCGGACCCCAAACCCCGCAGGGGGCTGCATCCTGGGGAGTGGAGGGGCAGCCCTGGACGGCCCCTCTGAGAGCCCTCCGGAATCCTCCACACCAGCCACCGCATCTCCCTTTGCAGGTACACAGCCCAGGCCCCCGTCTTGTTCCTTGGGCTCTGGCCTGCCCCAATCAGGAAGCCTGGGAAGGCTGCAAGCCCACCCTCTCTCCCGGCCCCTCCCCCTGCCCCTCCAGGGTGTTAAAGCCGACCAGCCTCCTCAGAAGCAATTCCACAACACAGCTTGCAGTCCCAGCACACGCCCTGGGGGTCGCAGATTGCATGCAGGTATTGAGCACCTGCTGTATATCCATGCCCTGGGCTGGGGGCCCTTGTGTGTGGTGGTGTCTCCTTATAGGCCAGGCCATGGAGTAGTTCAGAGTACAGACTCTGAATACAGACTCTTCCGAATCTTGTGGTTTGGGAAGTTTACTAGCCGTGTGACTTTGGGAGAGTTACTTTGCCTCCTTTTGCCACAGTTTTCTCATCTGTAAAATGGGGCTATTATAGTATCTACCTTGCTGACGGGCGTGAGGATTCATTGAGAGATACGTAAAGTGTCTAGCCGAGGGCACGTAGCCGCGGCTGCTGTTCCTCTTCCTCTGTTGCTGTCACTGGATCTTCACCACTGCCCAAGGGGACAGTGTGATTCCCATTTTATAAGGAGGAAGCTGAGGCCCAGCGAGGTTAGGTAACTTGCCGGATGTCACACAGCTGGCCACTGGCAGACTTGGGGTTTGAACCCAGCTGTCTGTCCAGTGCTCCTGCAGCACAGCTGACCCTTTGGTAAATGGAGCACAGAAGGGGGGGCTCCCGACCCTGGAGCCGTGGGAGTGGTGGGCCCTCCTGTTGCATCTAAGTGCTCTTTCTCTGCTTTTCCAGATTTCTGAGCCAGGAGAGGAGGGTCGGGAGAGCTGAGGGATGGCAAAGCTCGTGACCCTTGGGCAGAAGCTGCTGCCGCTGCAGGGCCCAGTGGCCGGAGCTGAGTGACGGTGCCGTCCGAGCGTCTGCCGCAAGCAGAGCAGGAGCAGCAGAAACCCCAGAGGCCACAGCGGGTGTCCGGAGGCAGGCATGACGCCCCCGCAGACCCCCAACCCCCTGCCGCCCGGGCGCTAGGAGCCATCCCTGGGCTCCAGCCAGGAGCCCTGCCGCCCAGGGGCATGGCCAAACCTTTCTTCCGACTCCAGAAGTTTCTCCGCCGGACGCAGTTCCTGCTGTTCTTCCTCACGGCCGCCTACCTCATGACGGGCAGCCTGCTGCTGCTGCAGCGGGCCCGCGTGGCCCTCCCGCAGGGCCCCCGGGCGCCCGGCCCCCTGCAGGCCTTGCCCGTGGCCGCCGTGGCGCTGGGCGTGGGCCTGCTGGACAGCAGGGCCCTGCACGGCCCCCGGGTCAGGCCGGAGCTGCTCCTCGGAGTGGACGTGCTGGGGAGCCCCCCTGCCCGGCCCCGGTCCCGGCCCGGCGCCCGCTGGCTCCGCGGCCGCAGCTCGGAGCTGCGCCAGCTGCGCCGTCACTGGTTCCACCACCTCATGGGGGACCCCCAGGGGCCGCCCGCCCTGGGCCCCGAGGCCGCCAGGCCGGCCGTCAGCAGCCGAGGTAGGTGCCCAGCCCCGGCTCCCCTTGGGTATTGGGGAGCTGCCCCCGGGGACCCCGCTTGGTCTGGGACCGGGGTCCTCTTCCTTTGGCCCTGCGGGAAGCAGGCACTGAGGGCCACGGCCTTCACGGGTCCTCAGGGAGACAGGAAGGGCCTGGGACCGGGAGTCCTTTGGAGTTTTGCTCACTCACCAGCTGGACTTCCAAGGGGCTTGAGGCTAAGACATGCGAGCGTTTTGAGCCCGGCCTTTGGGTTCAGACAGACCTTGACGTGAATCCTGGCTTAGCCAGAAACTTGTCGGGTGACCGTGGACATGTCGTGTAGCTTCTACGAGTCGCTCTGAAATGGAGATAGAAATCTACCCCAGGGTTACTGTGAGGAGCTAATGTGATCTTAGAGAGCTGTGGTTCCCAAAGTGGGGTCCCAGACCCACAGCCTCCACATCACCCGGGAGCTTGTTACAAATGCGCGTTCTCAGGTTTCTCCCAGACTCACTCAGTCCCGAACTCTGGGGCAGGGCCTGCAGGCTGCGTGGTGGCACCACCCCGCCCCCCGCCCCACGAGGGCTGCTCATGCTCGCAGGGGCTGAGAACTACTGGACCGGAGCACCCAGCACATCATTTGGGGCTCAGTAACTGGCAACTATTATTATTTAATAAAAGTAGCTAACTCGTATAGCATTTACTATGCACCTGTAAATGTACTATTTACAGGCACTATTGCTCTTATGTCCCAGTTCTACAGATGAAGACAGTGGAGCACAGAGAAGTTAAGTAGATTCTGCAGGTCATTCTCCTAGTTTGGGTTCCCAGAAGCAAACCCTAAGACCAGAGTTCAAGTCACCTGGTATATTTGGGGTGTGATCCCAGGAACACCGGCAGCGTGGGACGTGAGGCGGGAAGAGAGGGCAGCCGACGGCGGGTGCGCAGGGAGCAGGTGGGAGTGAGCAGAGCGTGTGGCTCAGGGTGGGCCTGGCAGCAGCAAGGCCTGGGGAACACGGCGGGGCCCTGACCAGCTCCACCACTGTCACATGGCTGGGAGTCCAACACGGGACATGGACACAGCCTGGCTCCAGGTGGGGCTGTTTGCACTGAATTATACAGACTCTGTGCAGGGACCAGGAACTGAGCCTCCATGTGATGAGCACCCGGGTAGTGTCATGGCTGTTGTAGGGTGTGACCGAGCTCCGTCAGTGTCTCAGCATCCCTGTCACCACCCCGTTTGGCCCTGTACCCCAGATCACGGTGGGAATGGCTCTTGACTCAGACACGTGGTTGCAGCGTCGGGCACTCAGTGGCGGGATATAGGAAGAGGTGAGTCGCGAGGCTCATCTTAGAGCCCGGGCTGTGCATTCAGAACGACTTTGGCTTGAACCTTGTCACGGCTTGAACCTGAGTCACAGAGGGATGTGAGTACCGGGCCAGGGAATTTGGCTTTCTCCTGGGGATGAGGAGAGGGTCCAGAGAAGAGAAAGGAGCCCAGGCTGCGCTCGCTGTAGGAGGGTGACTCTAGAAGCCCAGGAAAACGAAGACTGGAGGACTGTGCATTCCTGTCTCCATAGAAGGAAGTTTCTTCTGAAATCATCTAGGTTAGAGCCCTAATTTCTTCTGAAGAGCCCTTGCTGTGGGATTCCTCAGCAAGGCTTTCATGTAAGAAATAGGGAGAAATGAGGGACTGATTCTGTAGCTCGCTTTATACAGGTATGATTTCTGTAAACTTTCCCCGACATACTAAGAAACTGGGTCTCTTTGCAGATGGCACTAGTGCTGCACCTCATTTAGACTAAAGTGTGAATGACTGACAAAGTCAACATGGATTTCTTGAGAGGAAGCTGTGGAAAGAGCACAAGTTTTGAAAACACACCTGGATTCCTCTCTTGGTATTGTCAGTTATTGGCTCTGTGACCTTGGGCAAATTAGCCACAATTCCTCTCTTTATTGCTCTCAGTACACTTAGTGAGGATCCATGTATGAGTCTCCATGGGTGTTATTGACTGTGCGCTCGAGGATCTTGGTCTGGTGGCAGAATCAGATATACATCCAAGGGATTCCAACAGCATGATGGAGGCATGACAGAGGCAGCTGCAAAGGGCTTTGGACTCGTTAGACAGAAGTGACTGGTACTTCATAACCTGTCTTCACAGTGGCTGGCCAGCAGAGAGGAGGGCTCGGGGACCTCGTTATAGCCCTAGGTGTAGAGTATGCATGTCCAGGAGAACCACTGGGCACCCCTTTACTTTGTCATCTCCAGTGACTTAAAGAAGTGGTGGAAAGGGGTCCAGGGAAGGCTCAGGAGACGGACTGATGGTCAATCATTACACACCAGGATGGTCTTATCAGTTGTTAAAATATTGGAATGGTTACTGCCCTGAGCCCCTGGGGTACCCCTACACTCTGCTTCCCTCCCCAGTGACCCCCCAAACCTCCCCATGACCCAGCAAGTGAAGGGTTAATGCCTGGGCCAGCAGAAGCATCAGGAGCAAGTGCCAGCGTGGACTGGTGGAGATTCTGCTGGACAGTGTACCCCATAGGCTCTTAAATGTTTTGAATATCCCCCGGGATTTAAGGAAGAATTTGTGCCCTGGGAGAGGCTGTGGTGTCACGTGGCTGGAGAGCTTCAGAGAAAGGGGAGAAAAGCGGGGCACTAGCCTGGGAACCCTCTTGGAGCCCCGTTCTCCTCTTGGGGCTCCGTGGACCCTGCACAGCCCGGCGGGCCTCCTGGTGGAGGGTAGCCCACAGGCCAGCCCTCAAGACAGCTGCTGGGGCTGCAGACAAAGAGGGCGTCTCTTTGCGGCCGGGCAGCCCGCCATCCTCCTGAAAGGGGCTCCTGCGAGGCACGGAAGCTGCAGGAGGTGCCATCAATCACGGGGCATTTCATTATACCTTGGACAACATCCATAATGGAATAAAATGTCAGTAAGTTTACTAGGGGAAAAATAGTAACTTCTCCATAGCCAGTTTGTTTTTTATTGATAGTAATTTCCAAAGACATTCCAATATCTCCAAAGCCATCGTTAATAGCCTCACGGCATGTCCATTTTGATGTGCAAATGAACAGATGCGGAGTCTCAGACAATAATGCATTGCCTCCATTTCAGCCGAAAGTAATAAATCCGCCTCGGAATGTGTCCCAGCGTATCCCTCGGAAGTCCTTTCTTCTCTGCACATTCTCGCCTCTGTCAGGGAGTTAGAAAAGCCATTTGTTATTTTTCCAGCAAAAAGGGCTCACCTCCTCCTCACGAACAGAGCAGGGACTTCTGCGTCTCAGGCCCTTGCTACCCACGGAGACAGGCCAGCCAGGCATGGGTTTCCTCTCCAGACCGGTCAGTTCCATCAACTGGCCAGCTGGTAGCTGATTTGCCACTCGTTTTCTGAGGAACCCGAGCCTGCCCGCTTGAAACCATTTCTTTCTCTGTTTTATTAATGTGGTAGTTATTCAGCTAATATTTACTGAACTGTCCTCACACTGGGTCCCCGGTTAGGGTGTAGGATCAGAATGACAATGGCTGCTACTTATTTGAACATCTGTGTGCCAAGTATTGTTCTGTACAGAGGTACGTCTATTATCTCATTTAATTTAATCTTCAAACAGCCTTATATGCAAGCGGTGCTATCACCATTTTAATGATGAAGAATTTGAGTTGCAGGGAAGTATAAAGTAATTTAAAAATGTTTATTATTAATAATGATAGATTAACAATAAAAACAGTCGCCATCGAGCGCTATTACTTGCATCGGACACGTTTCCCGTGTTCCTTCATGGCATTCTCACAACCAGCCGGGAATTCCGTGGAACCTTAGCCCCATCCTACAAATGAGGAAGCTGATGCTCAGAGAGGGCAAGGTGCCCCTGCCAGGTCACACAGCTGTACAGCAGTGGAGCTTAGATTTGAGACTAAGTCAGCCCCTTCCCAAAGTTGAGGTCCCCTGACTCCCCCAGAAAACATGGACGTGCCCGTCTCAGCCTGCCAGGGTCTTGAGCCCAGGCGCCTTTAGAACCTTTTGGTTAGTTTCCCATTACCGTGATAAATGTTTAACGACCCCCGAGCTTGTGTCCGGGATGTTTAATTGAAGGCTGTAATAGCATTTCTTCTTTGCTGAGCAGCACATCAGATATTTCTCAAATACTAGTTTTCGTTCACGAAGTAGGGGGCTGCAGAGAACGATGCATTCTCGCTGACCTGGCTGGAAGCTTTGCAGCGGTCCATTCTGGCTTCAGTAGTCCTGAGACTTCCCTCGAGAGAAAGAAGCTCACAGGCCTGGGGGTGTCTGGGAGTCCTGAAGAGAGGGCGGTGGCCTGTGCCTGTGGACAGACAGTGGCTGGGGCCACGTGTGTGCCGATGGGCAGCTGGGCTGAAGGTGACCTCTAGAGCTTCGTTGCCTGGAACGGGGCAAGACCCTTTGGCAGACACTGAAGAAGGTGACCGTGGCTCCCTCTGCAGCCCCGGGTTCTCTAATTGGAGGTCTCCGGGTCTTTCAGCCGTTCCTGCCGAGGCGGAGGGTCCAGTCTCCTGTCGTCTTGGTCGTCTTTCTCCGCTTTGCTTGCTTAAACTGGAGCCCTGGGAACTGCCAATTGCAGGCGTCCATAGAACCGCCCCCTCCTTGCATCTGGGGTCTCTGCCCCTCCTCTTGGCTCTCAGAGGATATCAGTGTGGTTTTTAGGAGCTCTAACCCACGTTGACAAGGAGGTGTGCATGATGACATTGTGCCTTATCCCAGTGAGTTCCTGCGGGGTCACCAGCTGGAGTAAAGGTGTGGCCCCCGCCCTCAGTGAGCCTTAAGTCATGTTGCCGAGACAGGACACAACAGGCGTAAGAGATTTTAACAATAACAACAGTTAATGATAGGGATTTGAGTGACAAGTTTTCCAGATACAAAATAGGAGAATCTGGAGAATGGGGAGGCCATCGTGGGCTGGAGTGGTCAGGGAGACAAGCCGTCAAGGACAGGCAGGAAGCAAAGGGTGGACATGGCAGGGGAACAGGGACAGGTCCAAAGGTGGGGCAGGAGAAAGGAGCCTGGGCGGGAGAGGCAGGTGGGGAGGGCATTTCTCCGTGTGACAGTTGAGGAAACCGAGGCACAGAGTGGTGAAGTGATTTAGCCCAGGTCAGAGGCAGAATTCAGTGCGGCGTTCACAGCCAGAAAGATGGTTCCCTGCTTCGGGCTGGGAGCGAGGGTTGGCAGACCCACTCCTCCCACCCGCTCAGCGGGCAGCGCGGGCTCCCGCTCTGCGCCAGGTTCTTAGCGGGAATGAGAACGAGTCTCCCCTGCCCTCAGGGAGCTCCCAGACTGGGAGACCAGGACGGTCCTCCTCATCCCGGAGCCCTTTGGGAAGCGGCATGGGGGTGGGAGGCCTTGTTCCTTCCCAGAGACGAGCCGATTTCCGGAGGCTGCGGCGCTCGCACAGGCGCCGTTTCAGACGCCCCGGGGCCGAGTGCAGAAGTTCTCCGGGGAGACGCGCAGCATCTTCATCACAGGCGCCCGAGCCGGATCTCGGCGCAGCTATCGTGGATGTGGATGCGCCTCCGCAGCTGGGGACCGTGTGATGGCGTGTTTGCAAACTCCCGAGGCGCTGCTCCTTTCACATGCCACGGCGCACTGACATTTACACGCCTAATGCGCTCGCTTTGTGCTCGAGCTCTCCGGGCTTCTCCGCGCGTCCCTGGGAGACCCCTCCCGCTCTCCTCCCTCGGAGTGATGGCGCAGGGCTCCCAGTGATGTGGGCGTGGTTGGGTCAGCGCTGCCCCTGCTTCCTAGAGTCATGTACCCCAGTGTCCTCTTCCAGGGATGTGCCAGAGATGCGCCCACTGGCCAGGACTCACTGTCCATTCGCCCTATTGATTCCCAAACGGGACAGCTCGCTTTCATGCTGACAGATGCTGCTTACACACCTCCAGCACTGGGGGCTTTCTCTCTCCTGGGACGTCCGATCTTTTCTTGAAATAGCTCTCCGGGTTTGCACGATCTTCTTTAGGTTAGCTAAAATCAGAGTTTCCGTAACTAATTTCTTCCCTCTGGATCAGAAGGAGGCGACAGAACCTGCCTCTCTGAGCCTGGGAGGGGAAAGATGGAGAGGAGGGGGCCAGGGGAGGCCATTCAACCAGCCAGTCTTCGTGAGTTGAGGGTGGTGGGAGAAAGCGGTCCTCGGGCTGATGCCAGGCTCCTGGCAGCGTGTCTTGGGGGGATAGTGGGCCATTAACTAGGAAAATGGGCAGGGAGAAGACAAGGTGGAAGTGTCCAGAGGCACCATGGGAAAGGTTGGACTGCAGCCTCATCCCCTGGGCTTCTTTGAGGGGTGTCTTACCCAGGAGGGGCTGTCCTAAGGGGTGCCCACGGTTAGGACTCCCCTCTCTCCCGGGCCTCTGAGCCTTGGCTGTGTTTCCCACCCTGCAGGCACCTATGTTGGATGCTTCAGTGACGATGGCCAAGAGAGGACCCTGAAGGGGGCCGTGTTTTATGACCTGAGAAAAATGACCATCCCCCACTGCCAGGATGCATGTGCCGAGCGGTAAGTGTGGGGCCCAGGGGCACCAACTCCACTGGAAATAAGGTCAAGAGTCTGCCCTGCGACAGGGTGACATGGCTGCCCGCTGTCTGTCCTAGTGTAATTAGAGCTAGATGGGTCGGACCCCAGTGGTCCAGAGCAAAGACAGTGCATTGAGATGGAGCGGGGCTGTCGAGGGGGCCCGGGCTCGCTGCCGGGAGACCGGGGTTCCAGTCCAGCTGCGCCAGGCACTCACCGTGTGACTTTCCTCAGCTCTTTTCCTTCCCTGGGCCTCAGTTTACTCAAATGTTTAAGATAAAATAAAGAGCTTCCCCCCGGATTTCCCGAAGGACCTTTCTAGTTCTGTTGGAAAAGTTTCTTTCTGTCTTGTGTTTATGACAAGTCTTGCTTTTTTGAAACCACCAGCTTCCCCAGTAGTTACTGGACATCAGTTGTCTGTCAGGGGACAGTCCCTGCCATCGAGGCACTCACAGCTCACTGTGTGTGTGTGCACACACACTCATGCACAGGAGACAGGTAAAACAGGATCGGCAGATAGGACTCTTGATTTATTCCTGCCACATTAGATTCTTTCACGTTTACTGCGTCATATAAATCCTCACCACCTTCTGCTAGGTAGCAATGAATTGTGCCCATTTTATAGATGGAGAAACTGAGGCTGGAGAAGGAAAGGACAGCATCCCTGCTCAGGTCTGCTTTACAGTCTAGATAAAGCTGAGACGGACGCAGTCTCATTTCATTCTCCTAACAGTTAAGGAAACAGACTCAGAGGTAGTAAGTGATGTTCAGGGTCACACAGCTAGCAAGGGGCCGAACCAGGATTAGAGGCTTGTATTTGGGTTTTCAATCTGGGTTTTTTATGTGTAGGTCCACTCAGATGGGAGTTTGAAAACGGTCACTTCTTTCCATGATGAAAGTCCTGTGTGGTACGTTGTAGGTGCCACTGGTGACCTTTGCCAACGGTGTTAGGACTCGGTTAAAGGAGGGGAGGAACCGTCTCTGGGGAGGACAGCTTGCAGCAGGCCTGTCTGCCACGTGGGGCAGGCGCTTTGGACCAGCTGGGCGCCGGAGCAGCTCATGCTGACTCAGGAGGGCAAACGTACATTTTTAGAAATACTATATGCCCATTGCTAAACTGTTGGTAGCTTGAAGTCATCAATGATGAGAGGATTTACACCACAGAAATTGACAAATGCCACAGATTAGGGCTCCTTCCTCCCATACTGAGGACCAATTGACCCGCACACCACTGCTTTGGACCCACTGCAACCTGTTACCGTGAATGGCACCTCAGGGGCCCAAGCTCAGGGCTGACAAGAGGGACCAACGGGGCTGATTAAATGAGCTTATCATGGAGGAAAGACTGTTCCCCAAACTCAGCCAGACGACACCTACGTATAAGGCCGGCCTGTGCTGAGGGCTGTGGCCCCTCCTCCACCAGACCTGCCCGCAGCTCCAAGCCTGGCCCTTATCCTGGCCCCAGCCCCAGCTCCGTTCCTTGATCCAGACTTTTGTGCTGTCAGGACCCCAGCCCCAGCTCTGGGCCGAGGTCAGGACTCACCCCAGGCCCCCTCTCCTTGCAGCTCCTACGTCTACGCTGGCTTGGAGGCCGGAGCGGAATGCTACTGCGGGAACCGGCTCCCAGCGATGAGCGTCGGGCCGGAGGAGTGTAACCACGAGTGCAAGGGGGAGAAGGGCTCCGCTTGCGGGGGTGCTGGGCGGCTCTCTGTGTATCGCGTGGAGGAGTTGCAGCCGGCCTCCAGGAAGTGTGAGTGTCCCAGCCTCACCGGTGCTCTGTCTGTCCCCTGCTCTCTGACCGCTCATTGTCCACAGTCCCTCGTCCAAACGACGTGGGACAGAACCTGTGCCCTTCCTCCCTTATTGCCTTCCCTGGACAGGCTTGTGGCAGGGGGAGTGGTTAGTGTCTGCCAAAAATTCCTTGAGTTCATGACTGAGGCACATCTTTCCTTGTCCCCTGCAGGAGAGAGAAGCTGATCAGGAAGTGGCGCCTAGGCCTAGATATGTCTCAGACATGCTGTGTGGCCTCGGGCAGCTTGCTTTCTCTCTCTGGGTTCCAGTGTATTTTGTAAAGTAAAGAGGAAGACCTATATTTCTAGCAATAGGGCAGACCAGATAATCTGAAAGTTTCTTAGAGAGAAAACACCTAGAAAAACACCTAGATAAAATTGCATAAACATTTTTTTAAATGCATAGCTGGACGAGCGAGGAAGTGAGGAAATCCCTGGCTTCAGGAATAAAGAGGGAAGTAAGAGTCCCACTGGTGAGCTGAGAGCACGAGAAGTCACTGTGCAGCTCTGAGGCTCTGCGGGGGAGTGGCTGGTCCTGGGGGCCACACGGCTTAGGTTGCAGTGTCCGAGTGGGGCAGAAAAGGAGGCTGGGGACCTGCCAGAGAATGGAATTGGATTGAAGCCTCTGCATAAAGTAGGATTCAATTTCACTGAAGTATAAATCAATAAAATTTTAGATTTAAAAAAAAAAATACCACCTCAGTTCAGGGAGATAGAAAGAAAACATGTCCGTTTTGAACTGAGCTTTGGGTGGGAAAAAAAAAATCTTCCTAAGAATTTGTAATTGCAGGCCTGCATTTGGATGCATTTTGAAGTTCAAATTTCTGCTAGCTGCCTGGTCCAGAAAGCTCCAAGATGAAGATTGGCTCCAGGCCATCTGGAGGTGCTGGCAGAAGCAGATGTAAGATCTCTCTTGAGAGCTGTGCCACCAACCCAGGTGTAAAGAGTTCCCATGGATAAATTCTCACGGAAGACGAGCTTACAATTCAAAATTACAGAGCCCAGGAGGAAGTAATCCGCCATGAGGGAGAGGGAGCTGATGCACCTGACAGCAAGATTGAACCCCCAAGAATTTCGACTAAAAGTGCTGTCAAATAGACATAAGTGAGGGGCCCAACTAGGTGCATTTGAAACTCATCATTGCAAGATGCTGAGCCCCAGATCCACTTAATCTAATGATAAAAGGCTCCTTTCGAAAATAATATGGTTGTGCGCATTAGCACGTATCGGGGGCCATCCTTTTCATTACTGGGGGTGGGGCCGGGCTGGGAAGAAGGCAGAGCAGGAGAGACCTCCCACCACCACTGGCCATGGTGGGACAGCAGATGATGGAGGCACAGCCCAGTGTCCAGCCACCTTGCTTCAGGCACACAGTCACCTCTGGCCGTGGTCCTAATAACGGGGCTCCAGGAGAGCTGATGGGTTAGTTCAAGAACAGGGCAGAGCTCAGAGAAGGAGGTGTCAGGCCAGCAGCTGAGACTGCAGAGGGGTTTCTGCGAGAGCTCTCCTAGCAGTGAGTGAGTTTGCCGAGTGGTACGGAAGCCCAGCCATGAGAGCCGTGGGTGAGCGTAAAGCCAATCCTGGCCACTGTCTGTGGGGCCGGAGTGACGGGGAGAGCGGCTCAGTGCTCAGACCCGGCCACCTGAGGCTGCTCAGGTGTTTCTTGTCTTCAGACAGGATGTGTCTGGGAACAAGGGCCTCAGATGAGGGAACAGGCACAGGGTGGAGACCTGACGACACCCTATGAATTCGCTAATGAGACCGTTAACTGAACAGGCGCTCATTGACACCTACTCTGTGCCAGGCCCTGTCCTGGCACGAGGGTTTGCCGTGGTGTGGTGTGTGGGTCTACTGAGTCCTGCCCTGTCACCTGGGCATCCAAATGGGCTTCCTGAGGGCCACACTGCTCCAGGCTGGCTTCTTGGAGCTTTGATTTCTCTGGGTTCAAACAACATTAGCCCCCCGACTCCTCACCCCTGCTTCCCAGCAGGACCAGGTCTATCTGTGGGCTCTGGGCTGCCCTGCCTGCTCCTCCTGCTCAGCCACTGACCCTTAGAGATGATTGTGCTTTAGGTTGCCCGTTGGTTAAGGGTCAGATAGCCCAGTCGTTCAAGCCAGCGTCACACCTTGAGTCAGCTAGACCTGATGTCGTGGTTCATGTTGAAAACAGTGTGATGGCCACCCCTTCCGGCAGGCTATGGAGCCCGTGTGATTGACCTTTGCCCACGCACTCCCTTCTCCAGGGGATGAGGCGACAGGATCTGTGTCAAGAGGTGACCAGGTAGCCATCCTCAACTTCCTCTTCTCGCTAGCGAGGAGCACCCACAAGGAGGAAGCCCCCAGAACGTGCCCCTGGGTTGGGATCAGAGGCAGGTGCTGAGCAGTTGAGCAGTGGCCTTGCCTGGAGGTCTCCTGCCCCGAGTGGCCGTCGGGCTCTCCCTGGGGAGGGAGGGAGAAGGTATGGAACAGACTGCACTGGATGGCAGCCACCTCGCTGACGGCCCCTCAGTGAGGTCCAGGGCGGCTGATGCTGCGCCTCTGGCAGCTCTCACCTCATACCGTGTTGAGTTCACACTGGTCCCTCACGTGACCTGTCATGTTCATTCATTCATCAGCAGTTACTGGGCACCTGCTGTGTGTCAGGCTCAGGGCTGGGTGTGGGGAGCACGGGAGTGGCCCAGATGCACCTCTGTTTTGTACCTCCCTGTGGCCTAGGACCCACTGGGTCACCCCACTCTCTCTGTGCTCTACCTGTCCTGGTCACCCTCCCTTGCCACGTGCCCCAGAGCCTGTCTCCCTGGTGTCTGTCCCACCCCAGTGCATCTGGCTGAGGACCACAGCCCAGTCCATCTAGACATTTTGTTCTTTTGGGGTCAGTCACGCCACAGGACAGGAAGGAATTCAGCACAAACCACCTTCCAGGCCCTTACACCAAAAGCCAGGGCAGAGAGGGGGTCGTGGGAGACGCAGCCCCATGAGGGGCTGACACACGGGTACACGTTGCTCCTTAGAACAACTCTAGCTGCCGGCTGTTATGTAGGTGAGGAAATGGAGAGTCTCTGAGTCATGACACACGCAAATTTCAGAGCGAGTCACTGGCAGTGCCAGGACTTGACCCCAGGCCATTAGGACGTGCAGCCTGGACTGTGTTCCCAGCACCCGGCTGCTTTCCTTCTGTGCCCTAATAGGCCCGTGCCCTAACGTCCAGACCACTGGTGCTGTGGTCCATCGGATGGGCTTCCAGATCCCGGGCTTGGTCCGGCTTTGCCGTTTTGCATGCAGAGAGCCCTCCCGCCGTGGAGCCCTGATGGGGCTGCGTCTCCCACAACCCGCTCTCTGCCCTGGCTTTGGGGTAAGGGCCTGGGAGGTGGCTTGTGCTGGGCTCACGGAATTCCTTCCTGTCCTGTGGCATCATTGGCCCAAAAAGAACAAAATATCCAGATAGACTGGGCTGTGGTCCTCAGCCAGCTGTACTGGGGTGGGACAGACACCCGGGAGATAGGCTCTGGGGCACGTGGCAAGGGAGGGTGACCAGGACAGGCCAGGCACAGGGACTGTGGCTGCTGATAGGATTTCTGCTGCTGGGCAAGAGGTGTGGCAGGTGGAGACAGCTGGGCGAGATGCTGAGCCCCAGGAGATGCTGTTAAAAAGAGCATGGGATGTGAATCAGGATGCCACCTAGAGAAACTCTGATGAGTCTGGAAGAAATATGAGCAGTTGGTACTGGAACATTCCAGAAGGTTGGTTCACCACCCAGGAAGCCAACTAGGGAGCTGGACTTCTCCACTAGGGGTCTGGAGAACAGCTTGGCACGAGGCTTCCTTTGTAATACCGGCTTGAGGAGTATTCCTAGAATTTGGGTAGGAGTTTAAGACCAGAGAGAAAGCAAAGCAGTGGTGTGACTCGAAGGCACCGTGAGAGGGAACGTGGCAGGATTTCAGATTCCCCAGCCTACTTTTCTTCTCATGCATGTGTGGGGAGGACATAGAATTTTCTAGAACATCAGCCTCTCAGGTCACCTAGTGCAGAATCTGGCACATAATAGATGCATAATCCCAATTTATTGAAGGAAGGAAGGATGGATAGGTGAATGAACACTGCCCCTTGAGAGCTGGTGGGAGAAGAGAGATCTGAGCTGAACAGTTTCAGCCACGTGGCCCCTGGGTGACCGCAGTTCTGGGGCCTGGTATCTCCAGGGAGCTTGGCTTAACCACACCCCATCCAGGGCAGTTTGCACTCTCTAATTTGAAATCTACCCCTCCTGAGTATATTTACAGCTGTTTTGGGATTTGAAGCTGCTGTTTTCCCTTGGGACGGACACCAACAACTGTGGGCACCACTTCTCACCAGAAACCCATTTCCCTCCCCACAGGGAGGACCGTCACGTACCGAGGGTGCTTCAAGCTGCCAGAGAACGTCACGCACGCCTTCCCCGACTCGCTGACACAGGCCAACGTGACCGTGGAGACGTGCTCGGGATTTTGTTCCCAGAAAGTAAGACCAGTTATAATTTCACAATGCTGTCCTTGAACCATCCAGCATGTGCTGTGGTCTCAGCGAGGGGACAAGTGCCTGTGCTGGGCTGCAGACGTCCCCTCTCAGAGCCTGGGTGGGAGCCGGGGAGAGAGGTGTGACACCGCCCACCGTGCCGGCGGGGAGCCTGGCACTAACGCTGGCGGTCCGAGGCCAGGTGGGGAATTGTCGGCGGAGGTTGTAAAGCTGAAAGGATCGTGTCTTTCCCGCCGTGAGCTCTTGGCACAAGTGTCAGATGTTAAATTGACTTGGTTTGGAGGCAGGAAGATGCTGGCTCGGGACTTGGGGAGAGCTGATGGATTTTCTGTTATTTGTGCTGTCAGTGTCAGGCGGTGAATCGGACTTCAGAGGCCGGAGTCACATGTGCACCTCCGCTGCAGCCTGCGCTGAGGAGTGGAGCGTGACTGTGCAAGGGCTGGGCTGGGCACCAAAGGCCACTGTCCCTACATGTTCATGGGAAAAGTTGGGGTCGAGGCCAGGTGGGGCTTGCAAAAGGCAGGAGCAGGGGAGTGTGAAGTGAAGCTGCTGAGACCCATCCGGCCGGCCAAAGAACACTGAGAGCTGAGGCTGGCGTCCAGCGGTCTGCAAGTTGGGCTGGCTGCTGTGGCCCTAGAGATGGCCCGAGGTGCCAGGAGGCTAGGGTTTGGGGCTGCTCCTCTGTGCTGGGGTTCAGTAGTCTTGTGGGACTGTGACACCGGCAGTGTGGCAGAATGGGGCTAGGAGAGAGGAGCGCCTTGGCGATGATGAGGATGACGATGAGACGATGGGTGTCAACGTTAGCTAACGTGTATTGACCATTTATTCTGTGCCAGGGACCGTGCCGAGCGCTTGACACACATTAGCCCGTTTGATCCTCGTAACAATCCTTCAGGATAGGTGATGTGATTGTCTGCAGTTTGCAGGTGAGGAAACTGAGGCAGAGAGAGCTTGAGCATTCTGCCTGAGGTCACACAGCTAGTGGGTGGTGGAGCCAGGATTTGAGCTCAGTCTTGCTCCCGTCGGCTGGCGGTGTGAAGAGGGCAGGATGTGGGCTCAAGGAAAGCAGATGTGCTCGGACATCAAGGAGCACACCCTCCCCTGTCCCCCACCCACCCAGGGAGCTGCTGCCCTCTGCATCCGTGTTCGCAGCCCTCTTGGGATGCTTCCCTGCGAGGTGAGGGGAGATGAGGCCGTTCACATGCTCTTTTGTCTTGCACAAGTGCAGCCTTTGAACTGGCTCCCTTGCATCTCCAGCTTTTCCGAAGCCACTGCCAAGGATGTCTTGGATGTCAGGCCTCACGAGACACAATGCAGTGAGCCGAGAAGACAGTCTGTTGATTCGCAGACATCTGGCCTGGGGCCCCCTTCTCCCCCCTCCCCCCGTGGGAGCAGAGCCGTGGGTAGAGACAGCAGGGACACCTGCTCACGCACGCACGCAAGGCAGGGAGCCGCTCTCTCGGGGCTTCCTTCCCACCCGCGGTCAGAGCCGCTCCCTGGAGAGCCCCCCACTGGAATCAGAGGACAGGCTGACGGCAGGCCTCCCCGGCCAGCAAACTTGGGGGTGTTGTCCTGTGTGCTGGGCGCTGTGCTGGGGACCTTCCCGCTGGGCGTCTGCTTTAATCCTCCCAGTGCTCAGTGAGGGGGGATCTCTGATCTGTGCTCGCTGCAGAAGCAGGTGCCGGTCTGCAGAAGTGAGAGCATTCGCACCCAGGCACGGAGGGGGCGGCCGGCTTGACAGCCCGCTCCTGACACCACGTCCGGGGGCTTTTTATGTTGCTGCCTCTCCATGTGACATCCGGGGGGCGGGGAAGGGGACCGGCGGGTGAGTGTGTGAGGAGGAGACAGGAGAGATGAGAAGAAATTAGAGTAATGGAGTGGGACAGGCAGTGCATCATGGCTGTGTGGGCTTCTAAATTATTTTTTAGTAGATGATATGCTCACATGGAACACAATAAAAAGACCCCAGAGGTGGAGAGGGCAGAGGCTTCCTCTGGTCCCTGGGCCTCACCCTCAGTGTCCTTCCTTGGAGGCAGCTGATGGTCCTGACTTCCTGCATCCACTTTCAGATTCCATAAATATTCCAGCCATTGTTTTTTTACAAAGTCATGATTCCCTTACAAACCCCACAGATGGTAGCGAGCTACGCATACCACCCTGCCCTGGACTCTTTACCCTTAGCAGTCTGTCTTAGAGATCGCTGCCTATCGGCACAGAGCACCTTCCGTTCTTTTATTCCATTACATGGATGTGCTATGATTTATGTAACCAGTCCCCTGCTGGTAAGCATTTAGGTTGTTTCCAGTCTTTTGCTTTTACAAACAAGGCTGTGATGGCTATCCTTGTAGGGAGGTCACTTGGCATCCGTGGATCTGTAAGATAAGATTCCTAGGACATCCTGGGTCTAAGGCTGTGTCGTCATCGTCATGTTGGCAAACTTTGCCGTATTGCCCTTAGCAAAGGTTATAGAATTTTACACCCCACCACTGATGCCAGAAAGGGAACAGGGCTCCCTTGTGACTCTTGTTTTGGGGAGGGTGCCTTCAAAGCAGCATCCTAGATAGATGTCCCAGTGTTCTGGGGGCGCCTCCTCTTGGGCAGCCCACGAGGGCTCAGAGAATTCTGCCTTGTGGTTTCAGACATCGATTTTAAAGACATAAAACTCTTCAACATCTGTTTTCAGCCTTTCTTCCTGTTTACTGGCACAAATCCAGGTCGCTGCAGTTTGCACTGGAGCATGTGCCAAAAGGCAGTGCGGGCTCTCGGCATCCTGCGCCATCTTGCCCCTTAGCACCTTCCATGCTTCCTTTCGTGACCTGTTTCAAGGACAAGTTACCCGCCCGCCTCTGGCCAGTGCTGCCATGAATTGTCCGGGTCAGAAGGAGGATGAAAGGGCATCCAGGTGCTCAGAAATGACATTTGCTCTCAGGGTGCCTGGGCGCTGGCATCTGTGTTGAGGCTGTTTGTGATCCAGCCTCCCCTGTATTGTCGGATGGGGCTGGGAGGATGGGCATTTCCTCAGGTCCCATTGTTCAGAGGCACAGAATTTTGCAGCTGTGAGGAGCAGAGTCATCATTTCCAGCTTTAAAGTTGAAAGCGGGTCTTAGCAGGACAGACTGAGTGGGGTGTGGCCAGACACATGTGCTAACCCTTCTGGGGGTGCCCGCAGAGCACAGCTATGGGGGAGACGCGGCCCCACTCAGGAGGCAGAGCTCACAGCTGGGGAGGGGCTGCGACAGGAGCTGGGCGCCTCTGACCCTCGGTGGAGTAGGGTCAGCATCTGGTGGGGATGAAAGAGGCTCGGAGGGATGCTGAGGGAGGAGGACTGCCATTTTTTGGAAAGGTTGGAGCTGGAGGACGCGGGGCAGAATCAACAGACAGATGAGGGGCATGAGGTGGGCATCGTGAGACTAGGCAGCTGCTGAGCAGGAGCAAGGTGGCAGGAGAGCAGCCTGGCTTGCCCCGCGTGGAGGCCACATGGCGTGGTATGGAAGTAGGTGGGGCAAGTGGCAATGGGCCTTGGATGCTTGCCTCAAAGTCCAGGCATTTTTCGGTAGGTGAGAGGGAGCTGCTGACGGCGTGGCAGGCAGGGGTGGGATGCCTCGTAGCTGGAGGAAGGATGCTCTGGAGTGAGGTGTCCTCTGTGGATCCCTTTGGGAGACAGCAGGCCTCAGGGCCACCTTCAGAGATGCTTTGGCAAAGCTGCACAGAAGGTGACCTGTGACCTGGCTCTGGAGTGAGAGATTCCGGGTCAGGCAACGACGATGCCCCAGACGTCGCGCATCCAGGGAAAACCACCATCCAGCCGACAGAGTGAGCCTTTGGCTCCCAAGCTGTCGGTACGTTCTCCCTCGCCTCCCGCTGTGGATGTCGGGGTGACTTGGACTCCCCCCTCTGCGCGGCCCCCGTCAGCTCTCGGCTCTGCAGTTTCCTGGTGTGGGCTCTGCCGGGGCTCTGACTTCGCTCTGAAGCAGGGTCTGCCAACCTTGCAACTCCTGCCATTTTGGGTCAGAGAAGTGTTTTAAGATCTGTGTGTGCATTCTAGCATATTTAGCAGCATCCCTGGCCCCCACCCACTACATGCCGATAGCACCTCCTCCCTCAGTTGTGACAACCCAGACTGTCTCCAAACATGGCCACATGTCCACATGTCCCCTCCAGGACAGTATCGCCCCCCCCCCCCAACCCCGCCCGGTGGAGAACCACTGCCCTAGGGGGCCTGCTTGAAGGTGTCAGCTCAGCAAGGCCCAAGCATGGCCCACCTTCCCCAGGGGTCTGAATCCTGGTGAACGATTGTCTTTTCCAACTCTTTGGTGAGGATGAGGAAGCAAATTTTGCCTCTGGCGTGGAGGTCTGGTGGATGCAGGATCGGTTGGAAGTTCAGCCGAGCCAGGCCTCCCCTGCAGGGGGCCTCTTTGCAGGCATGATTTTTCTTTCTCCTCTCTTGGATGTTGGGGGTTGGTGAAAGAGATGAATTCGGGTGTCTGGCTGTACTTTCCTGTCTGAAGTGCCGAGCGCTTTCTCTCCAGAAGGGCCTGGGGCACCGAGGCTGCAGGGCTGTCCCAGGGGCAGCTTCGTCTCATCCTAATTTGGCAGAAAGATAAGCTCAAATGTCCTGTGATGTGGTTACATTATGCCACAGCCATCCAGTGGACTGTAATACAGCCGCTGAAAATGTTTTCAAAGACTTTTATGATGGAAAATGCTCAGAGCAAAATGTTAAATGGGGCAGAACAAAATCCGTGGGTGGGGCTGGGGGCTTAATTTGGGCCGCCTGGGCAGTGGGGCTGGGAGCAGCAGATGCAAGAGGTGGGGCTTGAAAGCAGGAAAAGAGGGGGAGCCCTCTCTGCCGTGCACCCATTTTGAGCACCATCTGAGGTTCATTTGTGGCCCCAGATAAAAATCTCTACCGTTTTTCGCCAGCTAGTTAAAATGGATTTAGGGAGCTCCAAGAGTGCAGTTTGACAGAAAAAGAACATTTGAGG